GATCTTCGCCAATGCGCTACACGTCCATGTATGGCTTGGAACAACGTCAGACGTCGATCACATATCCATGCTGCTCTCTAGTAGCTCATCAAATGGCAGCAAGCAAGTCAAACGTTTTGAGCCGCGAAAAAACCTTGAACTGGCAGGAAGACATATTCTTCACAATGAGTACTGGAATCGGGCCTGGGTCGTCCAGGAGATTGTTCTCGCAAGGAGTGTTGTGGTCTCACTCAATGCAACTACGCTGTCGCTACGTCGCTTCTGCAGCAGAATCGATCGGCTCAGCCTTGACCTTACGCAAACGCCTTTCCAACAATTTGAAGTCTATCGTACCCAGAATCCATTAAAGTCGCTGAGAAACACAAGCCTACTGTCTTTACTCAGTCGCTTCCGCGACAAGGACTGCGCTGTGCCAAGAGATCGCGTATTTTCTCTTTTGGGCCTCTGCTGGGAGTCAGATCAAATTAAAGCCGACTATGATATGCACTGGACAGATCTGACAGCTCGTGTTCTGAGACATCGACAAAGAAAACTGTGCGTTTGTGAAGCAGCTCTCGTTGCGAAAAGCCTGACTTCAGACGCCCTTGATCCCTATACCGTGGGATATACACTCATACGGAGACCAATGCTGTCATTCAGTGGCGAACATATGGAAGTAGGCGATTTGGGATGGTTACGTTCTGTATATGCCGTACCATGGCGCACATGCCTCGAAAAGTTGATCCTGGCATTCGGAGTGCTGTTCCGCCGAAGCAAATTTGCCGAATACATTAGACAGCACGAACGATCCGGATTCCTGTTCACCGAAGCGGTACGCGAAGCTGCGACACAAGAGACAGCGCTCCTTTCTTGGGAGAGCGATCCTAACGACGCGTCTTACCGTTGGTACGTGGATCATGGAGGATGGAGCGTTGGCATATGTGATCACGAAAGTGGCACCTGTCGCGTGCGGATAGCCTTGAATACGCTGCAAAGAATATTCTCGACAACGACCCTATGTAGCTTTCCGGACCCTGGTTCTCGTACTATTGCAAAGGTCGGCCGGGAACTTACATCTGTCGGGCCACAACATCCCTTGTTTTCTAAGTTCTTAGCTAGGAGAGGGCGTGGTCACTCCGAAACAAGCGGTCTTTTCAAAATGGAATGGGGACTGGTCATGGAGCCAGAGCAATCGACCAATACATAAGTACGAGTTAGCACACAAATTACGGTGATAAACGATGTGTTACATCGAAGTGTCTTCATACTGAGAGTCACATTTGCTAGGTATGCTGGAGCTTTCAGACTCAAAGCCTCGCCTTCTCAGCCCTCGAAGCTGGATGTCTCTCATCAATCCTCGGCAGCTTATCACTCCACGTCCTTCCATTCCGCATAAACACCCTCCTCCAATCCGTCGGATTCAATGGCGCCTGATCCCATCTCCTCCCTCTCTTCGCACTGACCTTCGCTCGCTTCTCCTCCGCAATACCACTTGCAGCAGCTACCTTCTTTCCTCTCTCTGCACCAAAGTTGCTAGGAATCGCTTGACTGAACTCCTTCGCACTGACTTCTAGTAGCGCTTCGGTATCGGCTTTGATCCGGTCTGCAAGAAGACGGATAGATGATTCAGCGCAGTGAGCGGCGGCGCGGCGTTGCCAGTATTCCAGGAAACGATATCCATGGCCGATCATACCACACATTGCGCCTGCTGAATGGAGGAAGTGGCCGTTGCCGAATGAATCGCCTGCCACGACACCATTAGTGGCCACGCGGGCGTCAGCACCAATGCGCTCAACGAGGCTAAAGGGTTTGGGGCCGTAGACCATGGCGACTCGGCGGAGCTCGTCTGGCGAGATTTCCAGGACGAGAGAGGCTTGCGAGATGTAGTAATCGTAAAGGAGGAGTTGATAGGCTGCAAAGTATTCGGCGGAGTCTTTGCTGGTCTCGGCACCGACAAGGCCGCGCTCAACTGGGCATAGCGAGACAAACTCAGGTACCTCGACGATGAGCCAGGAGACCCTTGGGTCGCCTTCGTGGCCTACAGCAATCTGCCGTACCCATGATTCATTGCCATGCTTATCAAATTCGGAAGCGATACGACGACGCAACCGTCCGTCAACGAGTATATTGAATTGGCCAGCGACGAAGTCTGCTTGCGCTACTTTGGCACCTTGACCGTCACCATGGTCTACTTGTACGTCGTGTTGCTGGAAGCCTAGTTGCTCTGCTTCACGGCAGTTGATGCCTGTGGCGACGCTGAACAGCTCTGGAACCCCAAGATCGATAAAGTCGCTTCCTGGCGTGCGGATTCGTTGGAGGTCGTTGTGATATTGAACTTCGGTAACTTCTTCGATCCGAATTTGGACGCGACCACACGGAAGATGGACTAGACCACTTCCGTCCTGTACTACACGATGTTTTGTGAAGAGGCGGCATCTGGGCGTCTTGCTAGCGTTGAGATCAATCTTCTCGAGCGCCTCAAGATAGCGGCGGAGAAGAAGCTGGATGGAGAATGCCGCAGCTTGCCATGTCGAAGGTCCGTCGAGGACTTCTCGCATATCGGTACGGATTTTGGTCGGGCACGGGTGCTCCGGGATAGTGGGCGGAGGCACGGTGGTGACAGTGCGATGCGGCTTGCCATTCTTCCAGCGGTCGTCGATGTACTCAATGTTATGGATTTCGCCCACCATGTGGAGTTCCTTCTCGTATCCCTCGATGATAGCTCCGGGTATGATGTCCCTAGATTTGGTCATGGGATGGTAGAACAAATCTGCCAGACTAAGCAGTGTTCCATCCAGTCTTTTCGGGAGGTTGTCCAGTCCGTAACGATCCAACATCATCTTGTCGATAAGGCCCAGCTGATGGTACATGTCTTCACGAATGTTCCAGTGCACTCCTAGAAACGGGTCGCCGCGAAGTTCAACACCGACGGCACGGCGGCCCATAGCTATAGCCCACAGCATCGCCAGCATGTTTGCGCCTCCAAGGCCGATGGCAACGAAATCGGCATCTTTGACTCCGGATAGCGTGGTTGAGCGACTGCCGCCTGGAACTTTGGTGTTCTGGGTCCGTACTTGAGCCAGATACTTGGTCGTTGAGTAAAGATTGCTGTTACTGGAAGCCATTGGGGCTAGAATGAAGTTCAAGTCGAATTGACAAGTGGGAACAAGACGGGTACAGCACTTCTTCAAGGGATCTGAAAACCAGCATCCCCGCTGAACCATTCCATGCGGGACGGGGCGTTTACGTTGCAGAGGTGACTTACCGTTCTGGTACATCTGCCCCGTCAAGGCCCTGGATGCCTACCATGCTGAGTCTAGGTTCCCCACAGTTGCTAACTCAAGAGGAACTAATACAGTTCGCATCTTACCCGTGAGATAGGCGGCGTGGGGCGGCACGCTGCCACGTATCGTTTATTGGCGCGACGAAATATGTGCCCCTACAAGCGTAAATCCTGCCATGCGTGTCCTGCGCGTTGTGTGGTAGTTTCGGTGCGACGGGCCTTTCATAAAGTAACCCATGAAGACTGTTGTGGCATTCCCGTCGGAGCTGTTATGAAAGCAACTACGTTTGGCATGTAGTATCGATAGTAAGAATCCAATCGACTCTGGCTGAAAACATGTGCGGATCCTACAAGTGACAACCAGGTTCCTGCACGACTGTGACGGTGGTTTTTGAACTCCTCCACGAGCGCACGACGATAGGGTAGCGTGATCTAGAAGCGGGATATCATGAGCTTTGTGCTAACGATGCATGAAGCACAGCCGGAGTAAAACCTTCTCTCCCCCTCACAAAGCGGGCTGAGCAAGGCGATACATTTGTGACAGGCGCCGCGATCAGGTGGGTATGTTGCTCAAGGCCTGCCACGCCATCTAGAGTGGAGCCTTACATCCATGGATGCAGTAAGCGACGCATGCAGCAATCAATGCACCGTGAAGGCGGGGAGTTTGCCGAGGCCAGGAACGATCGAGGGCGCCATCGCGGAAGGAATTTCGTCGATTCGGAAACGGATGTGACAGCGAGCTGTACACAGTATACGGTCGCAACTTGTTCGGGCAGCTGGTCGCGAGGGGACGAAGGATTGAGGGTGACCGGGAGCGACAGAACGGAGATGTGCCATGCTTGGCGCTAAAACACGCGTCCGAAGCGCGGAACGCGCTCTTAGCTCGATGGACCCGGCATCGACTGCGACCCCACAATCGATGTTTAGCTCTTACAATCGCGCGCCTCGTGTACAATCAGTCGCGACTATGCGTCGCCATGCTTGATAGCGGATTCGATATATGCATTCCTCATCTCCCACGTGGGACACGCCACGCGAAGTCGCCACTACTATGCATCCCTCCTACCGTCGGACGTGTTTAGTCTCTCAACAACCGCTTAGCATACCATGTGCTCCAACATGCGACCTGACAACGCCTGGCTAAGCACGAGAATCAGAGGCTATCGCCATTCCGAACGAGGCCTTACCCCGGTCTTGTTCCGCGGTTCACTATGACACATAGATGACTACTCACTCGACTTATAACCATAGCAAGCTCACTCCCTACTCAAGCTTTACGGTCGTCGACTTTCGAGAGTTTTCCGCCATAAAACTGTTGCAACAAATCAGTATCGCGCTCCTCGACCGACGCTTATAGTCCAGACCATCGTCCACGACACACCAAGATTGCCACGTGCCCAGCCCTCCACAACTTCGCCGTTATGCCCTCCACGCTACGAGTACAGTCTTGCAGCACGCTGCTGTTTCGCCGATCACATGCGCCGCATGGGTAATGCCACGCCCTTCCTCTTGCGCGATGCGGATATACGTGGACCTAGCAGCTGGGAAGCTATGGAAACATGAGACACACAATCATCATACATCTCGACCTTGACGTCGGAACAAGGCCTCTGTCGGACTATATACCCAAACAACGAAGAGAGAGCGCACCACCACCACGCGTAGGTGCAGGAATACGTTTAAGACCATGCACTGCTCAGAGTGCACAAGCGTCCCTGGAGAGAGGACTTGTCTCGATCTACGAGCGCATGTGTACACGGCATCCATCTCCCGAAGCAACTACCAACGTCAAGGTCTGCTTTTCCCGGCCAGTAGGGACAACAGGGTCATTCTTCGGAACAGTCATGGAAGGGAAAATTTGTACCAACCTCGCTACGGTATATCCCGCCTCCAGCAGGGCAAACTCTTGACCCAGGCAAACCCGTGGCCCGCCGTTGAAGGGAAGATACCCGTAACCCACATCTCGCAACAGTGATCCATCCTCCCACCTCTCAGGGCGGAACTCGAGTGCATCTTCGCCGTAGATGTCTGTACGTCGATGCATAGCGTATACGCAGTAACCGACAGCCTCGCCTTTCCTGACCAATATCGGCGACTTTCCATCTGGGCCTCCTCCAACAGGAAGTGTCGTCGTCTTCAATGCTGCACGAGAGTTGACCGGCACGGATGGGTAGAGGCGAAGTACCTCCTTCAGAATGAGATCAAGATACCTCATCTTCTTCAGATCCACCCGACTTGGCTGAGGCGCATGCTGTCCGAGGCCTACTACTGCCTCTATTTCCGAACGTAACCTTTCCAAAACTTTAGGGTGACGGACCAGCAAGCGCAAGGTCCAGGTGAGGCAGCATGCTGTTGTGTCTCTGCCCGCCAGTAAAACATTGAGACACTGGTCGCGAAGTTCCTTCTTGTTCCGAGTCTCTTGGATGAGCGCGTCGATAAACACATAATGCTTCCTGTCCTCGGCTTCTACTTTCTCTTGTTTCGTGTTCTCCGCATTGTCCAGTGCTCTTTGAATCGCGTCGTCAACGAAGCGATGAGAAGTCTTGCAAGCTTGCCAGAACTCGGGAGTACTCGCAAGCCAGTACAACTCTCCCAGCCTGCCACGATGTGACAAGTAATCCTGTCCCAAATTAAAGGCTGCTGCAAACTCAGACTCTTGTCCAGCAATGTCACTGCTTTGCAAAGAGCTCAATGTTTTGCCAAAAAGCAGGAATGTCGTCGTGTCGAAGGTCAAGCGAAAGAATAACGGTTGGAGATCAACAATGCTGTCGGAACGAACATGATCGATGAGGCTTTCGACCGACTTTTTCATCTCTTCGAAATTCTGGTAGCGATTGGAAGTGAATTGGGGACGGAGTAGCGCCCGCGAATGGCTCCATGCTGCACCGTCTTGGGTAAAAATCCCGCTTCCCATCAATGGAGCAAAGTGCTTGGGTCGAAGCCCAAGACTGAAGTCTACGAAAATGTCAACGCCTGTGCGTGTCCTAACTACGCGGTTTTGGCGAACCTTCAAACTGGGTAGAGAGGATTTCTTCGATGTTGTGTGGTTCAACCGTATTGATACCCCGAGCTCCGACTATGCAGTGTCAACTCCGCAGTGTTGTTGTGCCTCCAAAGACTCACGCAGCTGCTGCTCATGCGTCGGACCGCTAGAGTCCACTATGTCCACGAAGAACTGCAGGATGGTCTGCGCTCTTGCATGTTGCCTCGCTTTGAGGAGCAGATCCAAGCCCTGTGGCCATTTTGCTGCCCACTTGGGCGGTGCTTTGCACCCCGTCTGCGCGGCATATCGGTCTTCTTCCTGGTGATTGTCAGCAACGCCATCTTTCATTCTAGCAAACACGCCTACCTCGCGCTGCATTTGGCGCTTCCGGACCTTATAAAACAGCAGGCTGAAGAAGACTAGGCACAGTGACATGCTTGTAGTCGCCATTTTACTCAGCTCGACAACAGTAATCAAAAACTCGATTGACGATGAGCGTTGCAACTAAAAAGCCGATACGACGCTTTTGCGGCAATGATCTTGCCCGTAGATTGAACCCTGGAAGTCTCAAACACCGAGTATCTAGGCAAACGCGGGGCGCTTTGTCCAATAAGTTGGCCAGTGGAAAGGCAGTGATGAAACCAACACTAGCGTGTTGGTTAAAGCTCGGCTCGTGCCGTGCTCCTTACCGCGATAATTGTGTTGGAGCGGGCACCGGCGACCGAATATGTATGCTGCTGATAAAATCAAGCAGAGCAGAATGAGACAGAGAGAGAGAGAAGAAAAAGAAGACGTCGCGCAGGATGCACCCATCGCCGGTTTATATCGAACCACTGGAATCCCATCGAAAATAAACTATCGGGCTCCTGTAACAAACAACAACTACACGCGTCACATTTTCTACTGGAGTTAGGCAAGCGCCGATGCGTTCCTCGAGGAAAGGATCTGGCAATGCCGGTCAAATATGTCATACATCGGCATTTTGTTCGACGTGCGATTGAGCTTTTCTCCTCTTGCTCAAAGGCTCGACAAACATATCCCCTAGTTTAAACTCCAACTCTTCTTTCCTGAGAACCCGGAGGTGACCGGCAATATCACTACCCGTTTTATCACCCGACAAGACCGGGCCTAACCGCCTTTGCGATCTCTCAAACTCCGCTTTCGCTTTCTTCCTCAAAGTCTCGTAACCTGGTCGCTTTTGCGGGTTGATCTGGAGACAGTTGATCACTAGTCGATGCAAGACATTGGAATACATCGCATCGTAACTTGGAATGTCTGTCGATGTGAACGTGTTGCCTTCTGCAAATCGGAACGAAGCTTTGATGCTGTCCTCGCATATCTGATCCGAAGCTTCTCTACCGAGCGTAGTATGCATCAGTTTCCAGATGACCATCCCAAGCGACCAAACATCTGTCTTAGCGTTGACGGGATGATGATGCGCGGCCTCTACGATGATCTCTGGGGCTTGGAACCCTTTCGTACCCCAATCTTTCCTACCCTCTAAAGCATCCGTGCTTGGTGAAATCGTCTTGACGACATCGTAGTCAGCAAGGAGAGATTCTGGGTACGCTAGGTAGGGTTCCTTAGCGGTACTGAGAAAGATGTTCGCTGGCTTGACATCCAAGTGCACCATGCCGCTTGTGAACTTCTTCCTTGGCTTGTTCCCACCTCGCTTTCTTTTCTTTGTCCTTTGTCCTCCCCTTCTGACTTCTGGGCCATTGTCTGCTCCTTCCGCCGCTCTGTCCTCGTCGAGCGTCTCTCCGCACAACCCCGTGTTTAGAGTACATATGGCATCGGCTAGCGCATGAAAGACCATCCAGACAAACTGCTCAGGTACTTGCTTATCCAAATTCTCTTCCTGGTAATAAACTTTGAGAAGTTCGCCCAGATCTCCGTGCTCCGCGTAATCGGAGTACAAGCGATACGTCAGCGTACTCTCTTGTTGAGAGGCTGCCTCGATGTGATGGCAATGATTACAAAGCTCTAATTGTTGACTGATATTGTACTCATCTTCGACGAAATCCACCATTTTCTGCGAGCCACAACGTATCCTCTTGCATACCTTCCTCTGGCTGATGTCAGCAATGTTTAGCGAAGTAGGGGTTGATGAAGATACTAACTTTCAATATCCTACCGGTTTCGTCGCATAGCACGTACAAGCATACCACTGTGCGCATCTTTCTGGACCCACTAAATCTAGTACGGGTGTCCATCAGTGTCTTGCACCATTGCCATGCCTGCGTTCTGTTGTCATGTGCTTCCTCGTGGCCTCTTTTCCTTGTATGGGGAGGTGCTGCTCTACCAGTATCTGCTTCGGTAAGACCGACCCTTGCTATTGCGATCTTGCCATCACTAGGTTCGTAACCAGACGATTCCGTATCATTCGATACTTCTGGGTTATTAGCCTCAACAGGTATCGCTACGCCATGCAACGGGCCATCTATGCCGCGAACGTTATCTTCTAGGGCCCCCGATTTTGCCTGCATACGGCCTTCTTCAATCGCTTCTTGTGGATCATCCCTAGACAACTCTTCTCTGCTCTCAATCTCGCGATCTGACGCATGGCTAACCGCCCCGGATGTGGCACGGTTAATGTATTCCTGTTGCGCCGCGGATGTCATCTTATTCCATACTCGTGAAAGCACACCAGCCTCTTTGATTCCGCCCTTGTATCCCCCGTAGAACAACAGATACGCACGCCGCACATTATCGTTAGGTAATTCATTGAATAGCTCGTTGTGTTTCTGCGTCGAGCCGTCAGGTAAAGCCAGCGGATCTGCCATGTATGTGGTCCAAAGTTATTTTGCGCAGTACCGAAGATAGCCCTGGTTTTAATCACAAGAACGCAAAAAAGCCTCAGGGGTTTTTTATGTGCATGCTCCTTGTCTTAGTTCGACCATGTGTCGAACAAAGGCTCTATACTTCATTGTTCGTGGTGTGTTTGCGGCCATACCCACATCATGAGCTTTGAGTAGATAGATACATCCCGCAGACCAGAACTATCCTAGACCTGCATATAGAACGCAACGATGATGATGGGTGTATTGGATAGTAATTTTCATGATATCACCGCAAAAGATGTTTGGTATCGGTCGTTTGCAATCAGGTGAAAAATGTCCAGCAGGTAAAAGCCTTGTACATCTTGTTTTTTCCGTATGGGGAACACATCAATACGCTGTAGTTAAGGCCTGTATGTCGAGTGAGCAGCAAATCAATATCTGCATCCGAAATGTCTTGGTGTGGCTCGCACGGGAGTGATAGCTGCCCATGTGCTGCATCGATCTCCTCGCACACCGATTGATCCTGGGCCTTCACTTAATTGAGAGAGAGTTGAGGTCAATATATTTTAGATCAAAAGATCAAAAGCTAGCGAAAACTGAGTTCCAGATTAGCTATGGTGACGTAACACTCATAATTGACATGGAAGGCACCTTCCTCAAGGTTGAGCTCTGCTCCCCAACACAGCAAGCGCCCCTCACCTCCAATTTCCCTACGCTAATCTCTCTCTTCCTTCTGCCTATACTTCTGAATATCTGGAAGCGAGACGCGAAAGTTCCTTCCCCAATCAGTGCTGTCGCAACGTTGCCGCGCAGTATTGCCAACCTCGCTCTTTCCATTCGACAACGATCTCGGTCGAGCCCCATCACTTCTACCCATCACACCCAGTCATGGCGCAGGAGCAGATCAAGAACACGCGACAGCGACCTCTGTCAGGTCCAGTAATGCCTTCGCAACACCGACCATTCGTCGGTCCTACCCCAAACATGTTGCCGGCCAATCTCCCAGCCAGGTTCGAGCGAAATGCAACGGGCGGCCAGGCCTTCCTGCCTCCCATGGCACCACCTCACTGGCCTTCTTTTCCGCATCTCAATTATCCATTCGAGAATTCATATCCTGATCTAACAGCCCGACGCCGACAACACCCACTTCCGTTCAGCATGTCGCGCAATGAACACAACGTCGACCTAAACACTGGCGCAAGAAGCATCGATCTAAAACAGCCTGCGACACCAACGCAAGGCAGTGGTCATGCAAACTCCGCTGACCAGCGTCACAACTCTCTGACTAAGGGAGACAACGCTCATGTCTCGCCTGCACCGCTTCCGACAGGCTGGAACGGTAGTCGTATCCCATCGAACAACGTACCGAGGAAGGCGCCGCTGGCAGCTCGCTCTCCAGATGATATCTCACCATTCATAGCGAGAAAGCTACCGCCAACGAAGCAACAGAGATCCACGAGTCAGTCAAAGGTAACTCCCGGCCCCTCACAAGGCAGTCGAGTACGCCAGCAAAAGTCCTTCAATACGCCGCCGTTGGGTACCCCTAAGCGAGGACGGCCACGACTAGACGATGGAGTTCAGGTTGATAACACAGCTGGTGGGCTGAAAAGCCAGGGGAATACTCACATCGGTCAAAAAGCCAGCGCGCAGCCTCCCATCGGGTTGTTTGCGCCTCCGCAGGTATCGTCCGCGATTCCACCAGAACCTGTGAGACCATGCCCGAGGTATAACTACGTCGTACCTTTGGAGTTGGTAGCCACACAAAAAGCCCTTGGTAACTGCTCATTGCTCGAAGCTCTAGGGAACAATCGCTGATAACATTGCTTCTAGGCCCAGACAACTGGAACGAATATGTGTACGTCATGGAGCAGCTCTGGACCGAAGAAATCACCTTTGACGAGTTTGGCGCGCGCACGCAACGGATATTCCAAGTGTTCGATGAGGGCATTCGGAGGAGGTTGAACAATAATGTGGCGATGAAGATGATAGTGCCACGGCTAGAGGAAGAGCGGAAGAAAGGTCAGTCGACTAAGGGTGCGGAAGAAGTCTAGGTTAAGCTCTACAAGGGCCATGGGGCCCGCGCATCATGGTGAGGTCATGGACATCGGACTATGGGAGTCATGCATGCAAGATGCTAGAAAAGTTCAAGGCTATTCTAGAAGTACTCGGTGATGCGCGCATAGACGATCAATTCCAAGTACCCGCGGCATGGCCTTCAAAGAGATGACGACCTTCGCCTTAGCTTATTTCCATCCTCGTGTGCTTGCTTCTTCCTCAGTTTTTCCAACCATAAATCGTCCTCACAACGCTTGCCGCCTATCAACTGCTCATAGGTTCCGTTATCCTTCCAAAGACGGTCCAAGCCCATGTATATGCAAAGTAAGGCACCGTTTGGTACCGTGTAGTTGATCTCGTCGCGAAACTGCTGCGTCGCTACTTCAAGTTTCAGAAGTGACTCTCGGATCGCCGTGGCACTGATTGTGGGACAAGCCGTAGGAGAAGGAGGATTGGCGTTCCGATTGCTAGGGATGAAGATGATGTAGCCGCGTTTGCGGGTCAAGCGTGTCCACTGAAGTGTGTTCTTGGTGAAGTGACAATGGGCTAAGATAGTCGCGAGCGGGTGCTTTGAAGCCCTTATGTCTGGTTGTACATACGTTAGCAACAAGGTACGACCGAGCAACACCGGAAAGGAGACTTACCGAACGAGAACGACCCATTTTTCAGGACACCCTCAGGGAAGACCTTGCGCATCTTGGCGCAATGCCAGCACGGCCAGCGCGGCCAGCAATCTGGAGTTGCATTATCCTTGCCTGTCCATTCTTGGCCTTCGTTCTTCATCTCTTTCCACTTCTCACATTCTTCCAACTGTAGCAGGCCACTGCCGTCTTCAGGCACAAAGTCCATGGGTCGTGTGACATCGCTGCTAACGCACGTCCTGCCATCCCAACCCCACAGTCCGTTGGCCATACTCTTCTGGGTGATGTGGTCGCCTCCGTACAGCGTTGGAAAGGAGACTTTGAAGCCACCCAACTTCGCTAACCGCTTGACTGTTGCCATAAACATGTCCAACCTGTCGTCATCGTCCTCTGGAAATACCCACGCGAATCTCCCTAGCACCTCGTCTTTCCAGAGTTCGCGGCGCTGGTAGTGCGAGAGTATGAACGCTTTACCCTTGTTGTCAGTAACATGATCTTTGGAATCTAGACAGTCGTCACTGAGAGCAAAGATCATGACTGCGATGGTATTCGCATCCGTGTTTAGATAGGTGTGCCAGAGAAGCGCGGCGTGACCTGCATGTGGTGGATTGAAACATCCGGGGTAAATTACAATACGGTTCTCCCGGCCGCGTTGGAGCTCAGGTCCTGGAGATCTGGTGAAGATGCGCGGCGAGGGGTCGGAGAATCCTTGCATGTCTTCGTATGCGCGGTGAATGTAGTCTTCTAGAAAAGTCGCCTGTGACCCATTCAATCTTGTAGTACCTGCAGATGAGCTATATTGGATGTTTGCGGATCTGGATATGTCTGCGCTCACAGCCGAGGAGATCTGATTTAGCTCGACAGCATTATCGCCGTCTCGATCGCTAATTTGCTGCGCTACTTGAAGTTTCATATCATCTCCAGAATCTATGAGATTATTCTTGTCGAATTGGGCGTTCTCCATGCTCGGCTTACCATACAGAATGCGCGACTACTTTCGGAATAGAAAACCCAAATGCAAAGTGCGCGCAGTGAGAGTTCTTCAAGGTCCGTGCATTGTCGCTCGTAGTGCTGTAAATATTCACTGGCAATGTCATATTGACAGCCGAGGTGAAGCAGGCTCTAGTACTATCCCAAGTCGCGATAGACAATATCTTGTATACTCCGTAAGGGACAGCATGGCGATGTTGTATCATGAGAACGATTTGCAAGGTCACGAGTATGGCGTTGACGGAAATCTTCAAGCTTGGAAATGATACCCTGTGTGAGTGTTCGAGAGTAGCGCACTCCAATGGACATAAAAGCTTCGTTGGCAGCGCCAAATGAGCGCAAGGAGATATGGTGTAGACCATGGACATTGTTTACCGAGCTCGATCCTTGGGTTATGACTAATAGAAGTACTGTTGTTCACAGCTTGCCCCAGTGCCTTCATTTCAAAAAAACTCATCGCTCGGTCGTCCCTGCAATGCATTTAGTCGTATACTACAGCTGAGAATTGCTGCCTGCTCAAATAGTAGCCGTCAGACCAACCAACCAACACGCATTCGGTACGCCTTCAATTTGCGTGTGTGCCCACATCAGCTGTTCTCCACAACCAGTTAGAAGCACCGGACTGGAACCACCGTTATCGACTTACCAGCCCACCAATGTACACACCCATAGTCCCTCGAACGCGAACCCCGAAAGCAGCGGACGGGCTTGGGTGTAGTACCAGTTTCTGCATTACTTTTTGGAAGGTTCTTTCTCGATTTCACACCGCCTGGCCGAGGTCTGGAGCATGCAGATAGAGCTGTGAGAAGGCGATAGCTTCAGTGACTGCATTTAGAGTATTGTCGGTCATGTCCGAAATCGATAACGCAGCGTTGCGGCTAGCGGGAACTAGTAGGGCGTCGGAGTAACTTTCGATGAGGCTCGAGTGTGATTAGTGAAAAATCGCTGGTTAGTCGTCCAAAGTGGGCAATCCGGAGGTTGTGGAGAATGACGGCTCCATGGTGTGGGGTATCGGACGATGTCTAGCGTTGCAATCGACCGAGGCCCACTTCAACGAGAGCCTCATGGGTTCGAGACACGAAGTGCATATCGCGCCTATATAGTGCGAGGATGGTTAACAGACGCTGGAAAGACTAGTGATCTGTGAATATGTGTGATTCTATGCGCTAAGGAAAGACCGGGAAAATGAGTTTACCGTTTGCGACCCTGTGCCACAGCCGGTAGCCGCGGGTTGCTTCTGCTCGCAAGACGGTACCTGGTCCCTCTGTTTGCGGCAAAAGCACCGGCATGCTCGTCGGCCGCGCATCCCATCTTCTTTGTCTTGCGCGGTCGAGGTTGCAACACAGGCACGTGAGCAGTGTTTCCGTGGTCTGTGTGTTGACCCGCTGAATCCTGGAGAGACCTGGAGAAAATTTTGGAGTAGTCTCCACAAGAAGGCATCGCTACGAATGAGACGTAAGCCCACAATTCTGACAGTTGGGCCGGGCTCGATGTCGTCCCAAGCTTTGGCGAGGGCTTGGATTGTTGGGACAAGGAGACTCAAGGTGCCCAAGACATCGCCGCGCGTACGCTATCGAGTTCGCTGGTCTCGTCGAGGCTTGCCACCGACGTCGTCCATTGGTTGAGGCGACAATGCGATGGACTTCCTACATTTTCTGGACTTGTCGAACACCTCTCCAGATAGATTGCAGTCGTGATCCTGGCGGAGATTGGGATGGGCTGACATTTATGAGAAGGAAACAACGGGAAGGACCTTTGGCGGCAGTACAATGGCGCCTTGCTCCCTGCCTCGGTGGTCGCGCCAACATGTGCCGGTATGCAGGCGGCTGACGGGAAGGGCAACATGGGCGCCGATCGGAGCTGGGCAGCGTCAGCTTAACAAGCCGCACACCTCGATCGCACCAAGCACATGCAACGTGAAGCCTTGCACTGATCACGGGGACACCACGAGTACGGGATACCTGCCGCGCTACTGTGACGGCGATTGCGCCTCGTGCGCCGTGCGACGCAAGATACACCGGTAAACATGTAAGGGTGAGCTGACAGCGCCCTTCACCAACCTCCAGAATAAGAGCGGGCTGGCGTGACGGTTGCTCGGAAGACAGCCGAGCAATGTAACGCGGTGGCTTGAGCTAGCGGAATCACATGGGGTCGAGAATGCGGAGGGTGAGGTCATAGACGTCGGCCTGCGCGAAGCTTTGGGGTGAGGGCCAAGCCCCAGGCCTTAAGCGTGGCTAAGATAGCCGCAGCACGCTTGGGGAGGCTTACTCCATGGGGAGAGATGGAGTGGGGATCCTCATGAACGATAGCGCTAGCGCGTGAAACCCCCTCCTCCAAGGCTGTTTCTCAATGGCTGACGCGAGCCAGGATCCCGGGGTGCTCGACCGCCGCGACGGTGGTGCCAGTGAAAGAGAATCTGGAAAAACCCAGGTGCCTGTCGGAAACCTCTTACAGCTGGCGTGCGCCGTTGAGGCTCCACTTTTAGGCCTCCCTCTCACTCCGAACTCCCCCAGGTATAAGATCGACTGCTCATCTCCCCCGCCATTTCTCTCTACCTCCACTCCACTGCTCTCCGCAACTCCTTGCAATTTGTCTTACTAACGTCGGAGCCTGCGAGACATCCACTCCACCATGGACGCAAAGGACACTGGCGTCAGCCACATTCCTGACAAGGAAGTAGCCTACTCTGCTGAGAAGGAAGCTGCCTACGACCCGGCCAACGAGAAGGAGCCTCACTACACGCCCACCGCAGAGCACATCGCTGATACAGGCGCCCGCCGCGAATCTGTCGCCCACAACATCATCGAGAACCCTCTAACCCGCCAGTCAAAGGCCGAGTGTGTCAGCGCTGCTGAGCGATGGGCTGCCACCCATGGCTTGGATGAGCACGCCGCCCTCTTCGGGAAGGCCGCCCTTATCGCGCGCGATCCTGAGCGCTTCGAAATGCTCACCGACCTTACCCAGGAAGAGCGCGATGCTCTCATCTACGAGCGCGACCACAAGTGGTTCGGTCCCACCATGATGTGGTACTCGATTGGTCTGTGTGCCATTGGAGCCGCCACTCAGGGCTGGGACCAGACTGGATCCAACGGAGCCAACTTGTCCTTCCCTGAAGAATTTGGTCTTCTCGGATCGGACAGGGGCGAATGGATCATCGGACTTATCAACTCCATCATCTTCTTGACTGCTGGTCTCATCGGCGCTTTCATCGTCGACCCTCTCAACAAGTACCTCGGTCGTCGTGGAGAAATCTTCGTCACCGCTATCTGCCTGACTGCCACCCCCATTGGTTCCGCTTGTGCGCAATCATGGCAAGGGCTCTTTGCTGCGCGCTTCATCATGGGAATTGGAATCGGTGCAAAGAACGCCACTGTCCCGATTTACTCTGCTGAGATTGCACCTCACCGAATTCGCGGTGCCCTGGTCATGTTCTGGCAGTTGTGGGTTGTCATTGGTAAGTTGTACCATCCGCGTTGTCGACGATATGTTATTAACCCCTATCCACAGGTATCTTCCTCGGTTTCTGCGCCAATGTCATCGTCAAGGACACTGGAGCTATCTCATGGCGTCTACAACTCGGTTCTGCTTTCATCCCATCCTTTATCCTCATGGTTGGCATCTTCTTTTGCCCAGAGTAAGTGAAATTCATCACGCTCAATCATATCAAGCATATACTGACAAACACTTTTAGGTCTCCTCGTTGGTTGATGAAGCATGGCCACATTGCCAAAGGCTACCGATCAATGGCCAGACTGCGCGCACACCCCATCATTGCTGCTCGCGACTACTACTACTCATACGTCATCTATGAGACCGAGCTAGCCGTTGCACGTGGAGCTGGCTACTTCGACCGCATGTGGGACTGCTTCCGCGTGCCTCGAATTAGGCGTGCCAATTACGGTGCTTCGACTGTCATGATTGCCCAGCAGATGTGTGGTATCAACATCATCTCATTCTACAGCTCGACCATTTTTACCCAGGTCGGCTTTACCGATGACCAGGCTTTGTACGCCTCTCTGGGCTACGGAGCTCTTCAGGTCGTCTCCACGATTCCTACTCTGTTCCTCATCGACACCAAGGGACGAAGGACCCTTTGCATGTGGGCAAGTACTTCCCAACCTTTGCGCGACTAATCTTGTGCTGACTGTGTGCTAGACCTTCCCCTTCATGTGCATCTTCCTACTGGCTGGCGGTTTATCCCTCCTTAACCACAGTGGTAGTCAAGCCGCTCAACTCGGACCGATCGTCTTATTCATCTACCTCTTCACAATCATGTACTCGCTCGGAGAAGGGCCAGTCGCATTCCAGTATTCTGCTGAGGTTTTCCCTACCATTCAGCGTGAGCAGGGAATGGCCTGGGCAGTGTGCATCAACAACACCTTCGCTGGAGTCTTGTCGCTCACCTTCCCTCGTATGGTGTCAGTCATGACGCAGACCGGCGCCTTCGGATTCTACGCTGGTCTCAACTTGATCGCCTGGTTTATGATCTTCTGTTTCGTCCGAGAGACCAAGCAGCTCACGCTTGAAGAACTGGACCAGGTCTTCAGTGTGCCCACCAAGCAGTACCTCCACTACGAGATCACCCAGTCGGTGCCTTACTTCATCAACAAGACGGTTCTCCGCCGAAATGTGCCCAAGCCCCCTCCGATTATCGAGAAAGGCTACGCTACTGGCGCTGTCCCGACTGCGTAAATCCGGATCCAAACTAGTCAGATCATTTGAAGGTCCAGTTCTACTTAGCATAGGACTATGTAATGCGTTCGTTAGTGTAAATAGCACACGAAGCTCTCTGAGCGAGGAATGAATACCCCAGCGTGAGATGCTCACACGCTTAAACTGATTCATGTGTAATGCTGTCATGTGATTGCTCTCCTCTGCGCTTAACAAAGATACATTTTGGGGTATGAACTAATTGTCCGGTGGAATGCGGAGAACTCCCTACACAACGGTACGCTACGTAGTCTGCCTGTCACACCCAAACAACGCCATCCGCAAGAGATCGCTCCTCCCGTACGCGTCTACTGAAAGTGGGGCCTCACATGGGAAGCTTCAGCATTGACCACCCATGCCGACCTTCGCCAATGCGGAGTCGGATCTCACGTCTCATCACCTTTGCAACTCCTCGTATGCCACACATGCTCCATTCGCGACTTAGAAGCTGAACACTTTGCGGTCATAATACCTCTCGCTACATTACGAGCTCACACGGTATCGCAGACCAAGCGGGTGTTGGGTGGAAGAAAGGCCGTGACGTTCGGATGACACATTGGAATGGAAGAACCAATCGGTGATTGATTGTTCACAAACACGTCACCAGCCCTGTCGTCTTGCTTCATAACTGGAAAAGGTGATGCGAAATAGCGAACATACTCCTTCTCGTCAGCCACCATCTGCATCAACTCAAGCTACAATAGTTGGTCCAAGCTCAGACCTCAGCTACAACAAGAATGATGAACAAAGTCTTGTTCTCTGCGACAGGCAACAAAGGAACAAACACCCACGAGCGATACCGGAGGCTCGAGGTTATACAGTCCCCCACGGCATGGTCGCGGCCACAACGAGGGGCCTATATGCCGAGAGAAACGGAGATCCTGGATCCAGTGTGACACTTCACACCCGACAACGTGTTACGAGAAGTACTTTTATGACGGTACCCGAGCGATAGAGTCACGACGCACGGCTTCCCGCCGTGCACGATCACATGGCACTACGTACGAAGAGCAGTTGGTGGACATGGCACATCAACGTGGGTTTGACTCCTCGAGAGTCGAACGCGGGCTGACTGGTGGCTATATGCGTCGACTGTAAGTCTTCGGCGGTGACTGGGAGGAACTGTGAGTCAATAAGGAGTATATAAGTTGGGGACATATCCACTGAAGTTCGCACTTCGACACCGAGCAGCGACAGCACAACGGAGAGTTTGACAACTTTACGGAATCTTGAATTCAATAAAATCCCATCGCACCCATATCGATCCACGATAGTCTACAACTCAATTATGACTTGGACGCCGACGTGGACATCTGGAGAGGAGAATGAGCTTATAGAATTGTTCAAGCGCAGCGAAGGACGCGAAGCTAAATTGAAGGAGTTGGTCACGCCGGATTCTCGCAAGTGGAATTGGCCAGAAGAGGCCTTGAATATCGTGAAGGAAGCACGGAAAGACAGCACTGATCATTACAAACTGGTCACAAGAGACCTGGTGAAGTTGTATACCTGGCCGAGCGAAGAAATGACACGACCCGATATCTTTATCGATGGCGAAGACAACTTTAAGATTTTCGACCGCAAGGAGACGTGGGTCGAGGACGAGGGCTTTTTCCTGTTCAAAACCGACTATACATTCTCTGACCGCTGGGACAAGGAGAGCATGGAGGTAACAATACTCGTTCCACAAGAGATGAAGCAGGGACACGAAGCCCCTGTGATGTGGCTATTCCATGGCGGCGGTTACGTGAGTAGCTTTACGGGCATGACACGCTTCACAAAATGCTGATAAATCACTAGTGCACAGGAGCTGCCGACTTTCACCCCTGGTATTCCAAGACCGCCATTGCCAAAGCCAAAGATCTAGGCGCCATCATCATTGCGCCAAACTACCCACTTGCACCCGAAGCAAATTACGAGGACATCGTGAAAAGCATCAGCGACTTCCTCAACTGGTACAAAGAAGATGGCTGCTTTGAGCCCGATTACAAGGAGTGGACAAAGTGGCTAATCGATCAAAACCCGCGGAAAACTTTTACCATCGACAAAGATCGCGTATATGTGGAAGGTGAGAGCGCTGGTGGTCAGGCTGCGGTCACTGCGATGTGGCTCAACGCGACGAAGGGTGGACCTAACCTGCCCATCAAGGTAGCGCTTCTCCGTTACCCTATGATTGCGCATTACAAGCGGGATTGGGAAAAGACTGCCGATAAGGAGGAGAACAAGGGGAAGAATCAATACATGGGGCAATGGTTCACTGAAATGGAAGTCAAGGAACGCGCAAAAGATGTTGGCGCTGTAATCAGAGAACTCGAGAAGAGAGGCGTTGTGCCAACTTGCTCGGAGCGCTGGCCTTCAGAGGGCATGGCCTTCGCGTTTTTACTATCCATGGCCCAGACTTGGAAAGACCTTCTTCGACGCAAGCATGGCGACTGTTCTTTGGCCGACCCAACAGACACCGATTACATGGATGGTATAGAGCGCGCAAAGTATACCTACCAAGATGTTGTGCCAGACCTACTTCCTCCAATTCACATTTTCCATGGATTGGACGATCCGAATTGCGACATCAAGGATACTATAAAATTCTACGATACACTGAGAGACTCCAAACTCTACGGCGATCGTTTCAAGGGAAATGACATGCTCTATATGAGTATCGTGAAGTCTTTGCAGACGAAGCCGACATGGAACTCCGAGACGGAGAAGGTAGATCGCGGACCCAGCGAGAAAGTGGGTCATGGATTCGACTACTGGCTCAATGAAGATGAAGAGCAGTTTTTGAAAACTGCCTATGCTTGGGTTTGCAAACGGTGGGATGCTAAGCCGTGAGATGATGGCGGAGCAAGTTGTTGCTGAGCAGATACATACTAGGTCTTGATACTCCAACACTCATTAATACAGTCATGATGTCGGCATTGATCATATCCTCCATCTTGTGATTTGGTAGCATTTTCTACGTATGATTCAACCCCTAAATCTTGATCAAGAGGGCGCTATAGCTCCTATAGACACCGAACATGTTCGAATAGGCCGATCTCTTACTTGCTCGGTGTCTAGATCCACCAATAACCCATGAATGAATGAAAGACAGTCCAATGACCAATTCCCTCATCCTTTCGCACTAACCATACAAAGTCCCCTTAGTACGCTCACTAAACTGAGTCTCGTTATGAAGATGCTGGGTAACATCCATGGTAGTAGTGATATGCTCCCGACTAAGCTTCTCCTCCTTGCGACTAGCCAACAACCTAGCAATCTTGAGGATATTCTTAATCTGCCGACCATTCAGATCCATACGCGCCAGCTCCGTGAGTTCAGCCTTGGAAATGGTGTGTTCCTGCGACGACGAATCGAGGAAGTTCTTCCAGACCGTCTTGCGCGAGTCGATGGTGAGACCGGGGTAGTCGAGCGAGATGTGGATGCGCGATTGGAAAGCCGGGTCGAAGGTCTGGACGCGGTTGGTCGTGAGGAACATGGTGCCTTCGTAGTACTCTAGGACGCGAAGGAATATAGAGACGAGTTTGTTGCGCTCGAGCTCGTGGAGAGAGCGCTGCTCCAAGAAAACGTCGGCTTCGTCGAGGAGGAGGACCGCGTTCCATCGGCTACACATCTCGAGGATGTCTTGCAACTTGGTCTCTACCTTCCTGGGATCGAAGCCAAGATCGCCGGCGCTCATCATATAGAGAGGCACCTTCATTTCTTCGGCGACTGACTCGCTAGTGAGAGTCTTACCCACGCCGGGTGGGCCGCAGAGTAGGATAATCATGCCTTTGCCTTTACCTTCGATCACGTCGTCAAACGTATCGCGGAACTTCCGTTGAGACTCCGTGAAGCCTAAGATAAGCTCTTTCTGGTTCTTTGGGAGCACCAACCTATCGAAAGCGTCGTCTTGCCACTCAATGTCTTTAACGCAGTTTACGAAGAAGTTCAGCCAAAGCTTGTTCTTCAGGCTATAACCACGAAGTAGAGGTGTGCAGATGAGCTTCTGTTCAGTTGTCAAGGGCACGTGTTTGGCTGCATCATCCTCGTCGGCAAATGCGCCGTCCAATGGCATGCCACTGTCGTCTTCGTCTTCGAACTCATCCTGGCACTCGTCAATCTCTTCCTCGTCGTACTGCCCCGGGATAGGCGGGATTGGTGGCGGGCTAGGATCTTTCTGGTTCAGTGGCGTTACAAAGACCGAATGAGTGGGGTCGAAACGGTTCCAGCCGTAGGTATCGATGATTATACGACCCTTCACGTTATACTTGTCTTTATTCCCGAATCCACCCTGCCTCCATGCAACACCCTGGTATGCTCTATAGTTCGGACCAGCGAGAGTTTCTGCTTTGGCACCCCGTTCAATGAGGCGAGTGCGGATAGCTTCGCCCTCGGGATGGAACTCGATGGGGTAGACCCGCAGATTGGTGATAGCGCGTGTACCGGTATAGGCGGCGATGGAGAGGTTGATCTTGTTGGAACCGAATTTGGCGCCATCCCAATCGACGTACTTGCAAGTCAGCCAAAAGCAGGGTGCACCCTTGCAATCTTGTCCATAGCGCGTCTCGACTAGAATCATGGCCGTCTCTTGACCATCCTGTCGAGCGAAAACAGTCGCCCCAGGTTGATACAGCGTCCAAAGGTGTTCGTATGTCATAACCTTCTTGTTCTTCATGTCCTGGGAGGTATCAATCATGCTCTTGAATTCCTTGGTGAGAATGTCTTGGAGCAACTCAGCGTGGGCTTTGGTCGTGCGCTTATCCTCTGTCTCGTCGCCAAGCTTGGCAATAGCGTCCTGCAACTCAGTCCATCGATGAATCAGTGGCTCAAACTTGCCCTGGAACTCGAGACGGTTGAGGCCGACGGTGACACCCGGGTAGTTCTTCAGTACACCAGCGAGCAGCTTCTTCAGCAGCGGGCTCTGGACGACAATCGAGTGAATAGACAATACTCGTCGGGGATCGTTGTAAACCTTGACGTTCCGCACGAGCAACGCCCACTTCGCGGTCTCGTCGTTCTCGACGGCTTCTCCAAGGTCTTCGGGGATCTCCTCTTGCCACTGAAAGCGGCCCTTTTTGTCTTCCTTTCCGGAGTACAAGTGCTTTAGACCGTTCTTCATTCCTGGTTTGTAAAGCTCCTCGTCCTCGGGCTTGTCTTCCGGATTGTCATTATCGGCGGCGCCATTCTCAGCCTGCTTTCGACCTTTACCGTTGACAAGAACATGCTTGACACCATTGGTCTTGGCCTTTGACTTGGTCTTTGAGGTTGGCTTGTCTTCTTCGGATGATGAAGAGGAGACCGATGGAGAGCGAGCCTCGCGCTTAGCTCTGTTGCGTTGCTCCAGAGCCATGAGCTGGCGCAAGTAGGCCAACTGCTCAGCGCGCGCGTCTTCTTCAGTGGGCGAGTCGCACATGACGAGTGCTGTTAGGACGGACTGAACTGAGGCGACGGATGTCCTTCGAGATCGGCTTGCTTGAACTACTGTAATGGTATGCTGAGTGGGTGGGGGAAGTAAAGGCTTGAAGTGGGTTGAAGAAGAAGTGAGAGCGTAGTGCAGTAAGAGAGGCTGGGAGCCGTGCTAGTCGAGCGGAGCTGAGGATTCGTTTCACCGTATTATCGAAGCAGTTGAACGATAAAGGGAGTCCCGATTCACTCCGATTATTCAAGTAAGAGATAACCGTAAAGGAAGAAGGGAAGTGGACTGAGATTAAGCAAAAAGTACTTCACAAGGCTATATGTAGGCAGCCAAGAGAACCGGTCAGCCTTGCCTGTTGCCTGGCCGTGCGGCGATATCGTGGAACGTCTGCCTGCTGCAGGTCTGGTAGCGAAAGTCCTTGCAGAAGGGCTGCGAAGTTGTCGATTTCGACCACTGTGAGCGGCTTTCACACAGATCTTTACTTACCTGAGTGCTGAAAGGGCTATGCGTTGGCAATGCCGTCGGGTCACACAAGGCGTCAGCGGTGGCGTCACTGCAGCTCTTGGATGCCACCAAAGTGAGGAGACGTGTTGCACAGCCTCACCCAAGTCCCTCTCTGCCTTCACCATATTCGAGCCACGCTTGCGATGCATCATGTCCACTACTGCTGATAGCGAACGCGATGACGCGACTCCCCCTCTGGATCGCGGTGTCTGTACGTCTGCTCGGTTGTGTGAGAGACCGCAACTTAGACCGACAAGCTGATGCATGCGATCGCACTGTCGTGACAGAAATGGGGAGCCGAATGCAGAGATGAGATGAGATGGAATGGAGGACTTGGCTGTCTGCGCGTAGCTGGACGCGTCGCGAGGCTGGCAAGAAATGAAGTGTGGCGGTGCGCTACCCCGCGACCGGCGTCGGCGTTTGAGCCCCACGCGATCTTTTTCATCCCTCCCATGCGCTGGTCCAATATTTTTTGCGCGACGACATAACAAGACATCACGTCAAGCCCCAGGCGCTCTGTAGTCCAATATGACTACTCACATCAAGATCCCCTGCTCGTCCGCCAACATCGGCCCCGGCTTTGACGTCATTGGCCTTGCGCTCAACCTCTATCTGGAACTCGAGGTCACAGTCACCAAGAAGGAGAAATCAGAACACTCGCTCAACTGCAAGATAACATATGAAGGCGTAGGCGCGGAAGATGTCCCGCTCGCCGCGCAAGACAACCTCATCACGCGAACTGCCGTATACGTGCTCCGCTGCCATGGCGTTCGCGACTTCCCTTCGGAAACACACGTCCACGTCAAGAACCCGATACCACTGGGACGCGGACTGGGCTCTTCGGCTGCGGCTATTGTAGGAGGTGTGTATCTGGCGAATGAGGTCGGAAACCTTGGGCTATCGAGAGCGCGCATGCTCGACTATTGCCTGATGGAAGAGCGTCACCCAGACAACGTCGCAGCAGCGCTATATGGAGGCTTTGTCGGCACATACCTCAACGAACTGTCGCCCGAAGACACCGAGCGCCTCGAAATTCCCCTCAGCGAAGTCCTCCCACAGCCCGCCGGTGGTGTAGACACGGGTCTGCGGCCACCCGAGCCTCCTCTCAACATTGGACACTACACCAAGTTTGCTTGGTCGCCCGCTATCAAGTGCATATGCGTCATCCCACAATTCGAGGTCTCGACGGCCAAGGCGCGTGCGGTACTGCCTGAGTCGTACTCGCGCAAAGATGCCATCTTCAACATGCAGCGACTGGCTGTCCTGACCACCGCGCTCGGTCAAGCCACACCAGACCCCGACATGATCTACACTGCTATGCAAGACAAGCTCCACCAACCCTACCGTCGCGGCCTCATCCCCGGTCTTACCGAAATCCTCCAATCCGTTACCCCACAATCACACCCCGGTCTGCTGGGCATCTGTCTCTCAGGCGCCGGCCCGACCATCCTCGCACTCGCGACCGAGAACTTCGACAAGATCGCAGAACATCTGCTACAGGAGTTCAGGAAGGAAGGCATAACATGCGACTGGAAGCTCCTTGAGCCGGCCGAGGAGGGCACCACTGTGACACGCCCTTCCAGCACCTCACAGCCAGCTGGCGAGGCGCTGACATATGCATCATCGGGTGTGAGCATCGACGCGGGTAACCAGCTCGTTAAGCAGATCAAGGCATTGACTGCTAGCACAAAACGTCCTGGAGCCGATGGCAAGATTGGCGGATTTGGCGGGCTGCTCGACTTGCAAGCAGCTGGCTACACCGAGGCACCCATACTGGTGGGCGCTATCGACGGTATCGGCACTAAGGTGAAGATTGCCTTCGAAATGGGCAAGCACGACACCGTCGGTATCGATCTCGTCGCCATGAACGTGAACGATCTCGTCGTACAAGGCGCCGAGCCGCTGATGTTCCTCGACTACTACGCTTGCAGCAAGCTTGATGTAGAAGGCGCTGCTAAGTTTGTCGAGGGCGTTGCGAACGGCTGCCGGCAGTCTGCATGTGCCCTTGTTGGTGGAGAGACGGCAGAGATGCCCGGCATCTACCAGGCAGGCGAATACGACGCCGGAGGTGCTGCAATCGGTGCGATCAAGCAGGGCGCAACGATCTTACCAGACACAGCGTCCATGGCCGAGGGTGACGTACTGATCGGTCTGGCCTCAAGTGGAGTCCACTCCAACGGTTTCTCTCTCGTCCGAAGAATCGTCGAGACACAAGGCATCTCTTACTCAGACGCATGCCCGTGGAGCTCAGGCGAGAACCTCGGAACGGCACTCCTGACGCCAACTAAGATCTACGTCAAACCACTACTAGCTGCGACCCGGCGGGGCTTGATCAAGGGTATGGCCCACATAACGGGCGGCGGCCTGCTAGAGAACATTCCTCGCATGTTGCCAAAGACCCTGACCGCGGAGCTCGATGCAAAGAGCTGGCCGCTCCTGGACGTGTTCAAATGGCTCAAGAAGGCAGGTCGCCTGGATAACACGGAACTAGCGAGGACATTCAACACGGGTCTCGGCATGGTGCTCGTTGTTAGTCAAGAGAACGTAAGGACTACCATGGACCGATTGCAAGAGTATGGCGAAAAGGTCTATGTTGTTGGTAGTCTGAAGAAGCGGACAGACGAGGAGTGCATTGTGAACAACATGGACGTTTGGGGTTAGTTCGTCTTATTCTGGTAGTTCATGCACACATGCAGTGGAGAGGATTGCGACATGTAGGCAGCATGTATAGAGGACAGTCAGTCTGGGCCATCGGGAGCCTCCGCGGTTGCAGCGGCATATCAAACAATATATACCCACCTTTTATCGAGCTTCTAGAGCATGTCCAATCCACCTGAGATGCTGCTACCATGGTTCTTCCGACAAACACGCGTCTGCTGCCTCAGAGTCGCTTTGTCCTGACTAAAATATCGTGTGACGAAACGCTGGTCAACCACGGTTCCAGAGAGAAACTTGACGGTCGCGTCATGCATTCAGTTGACGGGTGTCAACAAGTCGACAGGCGACAAGGCGCTAGGCATTGCCCTATTGGGGTCTTTTAGTGAGTATGCATGCATGCCGCGGGTTAATGTGGAGACAAAGGGCTTGCTCGCTGCGAGGACGCGTAAAGTACTTGCTTGCCTTGGATGGTCTGCGCCGTCGCAGGCGCTTGACAAGTCTAGCATGTTCTCTGTGTGTGTTTCGTTGGCTACTACTCAGGCAGCGGCGGAACGCGATACACAACTCTCTTCACCGTCTACACTAATCTTGAACAAAGATTGTGTGGTGGTATACCAGCGTGGTACAACAAGCCTAGGATCCCGCTCGACCTTCTAGAACGTCTCACCGCTGCGACAACGCCTTAGTTGCCTTTCGGTTACCACATCCGTAGGGTACTGCACATAAGACTAAAGTAGTAGGTACAAAGTAAGTATATTTATTAAAGTAAGTATTAGATAATAGAGTAGAAATGTCTAATTTATAATACTATAAGTCTTATAAGAAGTTTAGTTATATTTTAATAGACGCGTACTTATCTATAAGAGCTTAATAAACTTCTTAAAGAAAAACTTAGTAGTTTATTAGTATTCTATAGTAGTCTAAATTATAACTATAAGCTTATAAATAGATAAAGTTATCTAAGCCTAAAACCTAATTTAAAAGTTACTAAACTTTACTTTAGAGATTTAGTTTAGGCTTAAAGAGTAGTAGCTCTTTAGTAGAGATAAAATAGTTTATAAAAATAAAATAAGTATTAAAAAGCTTTATAAGTAATAGTACTTAGCTTTTAAACTATTTATTTTTATTTCTTTTTTTATTTAACTTATATAAAGCGCGCTACTTATTTATAAAGCTAAGATTATTAAATAGAATAATAAGAATAGAACTATAAGTTTTACTATCTTCTACTTTAAAAAAGTTAAAAAGTAATAAATAATTATAAAAGCTTATATTAAGTTATTAGAATTTAGTTACTATAAGTAAAGAACTACGTAAAGTTCTTTTTTAGTTCTTAGCGTATATAATAATAAGAATATCTAGAGTACTTTAAAGTAACTATATTATAGTATAAGAGATAACTTACTTTATAAAATAAGCTTATTACTACTTAAAAGTCTATCTAAAATAATAGTAGAGAAAGTCTACTAGTAGATTAGAGTATAAGAGAATAATAATAAGTTTTAATTAATATACTACGCACTAGACTATAATAGTATAAAAGAGTTTTCTATAAAAGCTTTTAATATAGTTAATTAGTAACTAATAGTTTTATAATAAAGCTTATATTAGAAGATTAGATAGATTCTAGACTAGTTAATAAAAAATTCTACTAGATCTACGTACTTATAAAGTTTCTTATATAATATTATAAACTTACTAAATCTAGTTATTAGTAGAATTTATATAAAGCTAGTATAGTTAGAACTTAGCTTTATTAAAGTCTACTTCTTTTACCTTAGTTATATAAAACTTATTAGAAATTTTATACTCTAAGAAAAAGAAAAAGTATATTTATAAGCTATATTAGTCTTAGTAGTTAAACTAGTAAAAGAGATAGTTAAAACTAGTTACCTTAGATAATAGTTAAATAAAGTATATAGAGATATACTATTTATATTCTATAAAGTAGTATTAAAAACTACTCTTACTATTACTACGCGTAATAGCTACTTTAGTTAATAGAGTTTTTAGTAATCTATATATAGCGTTAATCTTATACTATATAAAAACTTAGTAGTAAGATAGTAACTTAGATATATCTACTAGAGTATTTATTATATAAGTAGCTACTTATAAATCTAGTACTAGAAACTTAAAGTTTATAAGTTAAGATTATAAACTAATAAGCTTAAAAGTTATATTAAGATTTACTATATAGATAGCTTTCTAAATCTCTATAATACTTTTAAATAAAGAGTAATACTATAATTCTTTTACTAGTATAAGATATTTATTATTATACTTAATATATAGCTTCTATCTAGAGAAGTAAGTACTAGTTTATAGATTAATAAAATTATCTAGACTTTAGGCGTAGTATTATATTCTTATAAGCGTCTCTAGAAGAAGAGTAATTAGTATTTAATAAAGACTATTATATAAACTAAGAGATTTATAAGCTAATAGTTAAAGAAAGAATTATTAAGAAAGATTAATAGAAATTTTACACTTATTATTCTTAATATAGCTAATAATATTAAAATAGTTTAGAAAAACCTCTACGTAACTAGAATCTATAGCGTATATAGTAATATAGAACTCTACTTTTACTTTCTATTTTATAGTAGTAATATATAATTAATCTTTTATATAGTTTAAAGTACTACTTTTTATATTAAAAAGAACTAATATATAACACTAATACTAAGTTAAGTTATAAAATATTTAAACTTACTTATAGATCTACTAAAAGCGCTTTATATAGTTACTAGATAGAAAGTTATTATTAATAGTAGCGTAAAGTATACTATTAGCTAGAGTAAACTTAAATAAGCGTAGTATAAATAAATAGACTAGAAGAAATATAAATATATTAGCTTTAAAGTACGTACTATAGTTATATTTAATAAAAAAGTTAATATTAGCTAAAAGACTATTATAGTTACTATTAAAAGGTATAGCGTAGTAGTTAGAAGAGAAATAAAATAAGAAAAGAAAAGTATTAGAGGCGTATAGTAAAGGTCTACTCTACTAGGTAAATATTACGCTGCGTTTACGTTATATAACCTAAGAATTTACTAAAAAAATAATTAGATTATATAACTATTTATTATTAAATTATATCTATATAGTTAAATATAATATAAAGCTACGCTATTATATAAAAATACTATAGAAACTACTAATAGTGCGTATAACTTTAGTAACCTATTCTTTAATACTAATAAGTTTCTAGTATAATAAAATAAGTAGATATATATTCTATATATCTTAATAGTAGCGCTTATAAGTAAAGGCACTTTAAGTAATACTATAACTACTCTACTACTTTCTTATTATATAGTCTAGTTATATTATAGTTATAGAACTTAGCTATTAAATAGAGTTAGTATATATAGTAAAATAATTCTTATAAGCGTATTAATTATAGTCTATTATAGATATAGTAATTTTAAAGCTAAGCTTATTCTTCTTACTAATTTAAAGTTATATAGATAATATAATCTAAACTAGTATATTATAGCTCTAGATATATAAGTCTCTATATATATAAAAGAAGATATATATACCTTCTAAATAGGTATTTTATAGGTAGAGTTAGCGTTTTTAGAGATTAAAGAATAAAAGAAAGTAGTAAGGCGTAATCTAGCTAGATTTTAGAAGCTAGTAGTTATTTAAGCGTAATAAGCTAAATAATAAGTACTAGTAACTAAGTAGCGTAGTAAATAATAATAAGATAATTTAGTAGTAAATAATAGTAGAGCTAAATATAAAGATATAGCTTTTAGATATAATATAGCGTATATTTAACTATAATAGTATAGTTAAATATAAAGTCTAATTTAAAGAAAGTAATTCTATAAAAGCCTATATTAACTAATATCTAGTTAATATTAAAAGTAGTAAAAGATACACTAGAGATAGAACTATTAAAATTAGTAGCCTTTTAATAAATAGTATAAGTATAACTATCTTATAGTATAGTAAGATATAAATATTAGTCTCTACGTACGTAGTTAAGGTAGTTAGTAAGCTAGATCTATTATATACACTATAAGACCTATCTTAATATTTATAGTACTATTAGTTCTTTACTAGATAGTACTACTTATAAGTTTTAATTAATATAGCTTCTAAGTTAAGACTATATAGGTAAAGAATTATATTCTAGCGCTAATCTCTACTCTAGAGAAAAAGAATATAGAAGAAGATTTTATAGTATATTATATATTATACTTAAAGAATTCTAGAATAGATAGTAACTCTTAGTAATATAATTATATAAGTCTTTAAGGCTAACGTAGAAGAACTATATAAATTAAGAATCTACTTTATATCTCTTCTACACGCCTTAAACTTAGTGTAACCTTTACTTTAGATCTAGACTCTTTTATAAATATTTTAGCTAACTAATAATATCTATAAAATTACTAATATAGCTAAAGTAGAGTAGGTTTAATTATAGTAGAATATAAGAAGTATATAGTATAGAGAAGAGTAGGTAGTAAATATCTAATATAACTTATATAGAGTATAAAAGTATAGACTCTAGAGAAAAATTAAGTTAAAAATTAGTAGTTATATAATATATTTAATAAGAGCTTTTAAAGTAGTTAGCTTATTCTTACTAGCTTTATATATAGCGTATAAAAACTATAAATAGTATAACTAATCTATAAAGAAGTAAGTAAGATACTTATTATATCTAAGAATAAAAATACTAAAGGTTTTCTAGTTTAGAACTATAGCTTTTAGGCTTAAAGATCTAGTAACTCTAGCTATAATAGCTTAGTAAGAATATAAAGAATTCTTACTTCTATAACACTATAAGTTTATTTAAAGCTAGAATATCTATCTTATTAGATAGTAGAAGGTAGTTATTTATTCTATTATAAGTTTTATTATATATCTTTAGCGTAACGTAAGCGCTAAGAGAATAAGTTAAGAAGTAATAATTAGATATAGAAATATTATAAAGTTATAGCTATATATTTAGCTTTAGAGCTAATCTACCTTATTTA